TTTCTCTCTGGAATTCTAGATTTCTGAATTCTGACTTTGTGTCCCCTTATCCCTTCCTCCGGGCCTTTATTTATAGGCTTCTTGGATCCATAGGATGATGACACATGTCCTTCCTGATAAGGAAAATATCATAAATGGCCGGGCCGGTTATATTATGATAATTATTCTCAAAAATAATTATTCCAAATATATTTTATTAGGAATAATTATTCTTTTTTATTTAACCATCTGAACCGGGCTTAATTAAATAATTTAAGTGGATTAAACTTGGGTCAATTAAATAACTTAATTAAACATTAGGCCCATATTTAAAGGGTCCATTTGTCCAAATTAAAGTCCACTAAAATTTTAGTATCTACAAATTGCCCCCACTTCAAGTCCCAAGTTTAACAAGACTTGTCTCTTGTTTCAAATGGGACTTGAAGTATCCAACTTTCCTTTTTTTTTTTTTTTTTTTATTTGCACTAGAATTTTACTTTCCAATTTATACAAATCCCTTGCCTATGTATACCACCCAAGTCATAGGGTTTAACATCAATTTCAATCTGCTCTAAAGGACTTGTAAGATTACAACCTCTGAAGATTGTGTTGCATTGCAGGATCTGCTAGAACACGCTTCCTGGAAGCTTTTTTTTTTTTTTTTTTCTCTCTCTCTCTCTCTCCACGCTTGTTGGAAGAGAATTTTTTTTTTCTTCTTCTCCTTTCCTCCAAGCCTCTATTTATAGGCTTCTTGGATCCATAAGATGATGACACGTGTCCTTCCTGATAAGGAAAATATCATAACTAGCCGGGCCGGTTATATTATGATAATTATTCTTAAAAATAATTATTCTAAATATATTTTATTAAGAATAATTATTCTTTTTTATTTAACCATCTGGACCGAGCTTAATTAAATAATTTAAGTGGATCAAACTTGGGCCAATTAAATAACTTAATTAAATATTAGGCCCATATTTAAAGGGTCCATTTGTCCAAATCAAAGTCCACTAAAATTTTAATGTCTACAGCTATTGTAGCAGAGGAATTAAAACGAACATCCGAATTTCCCAAAACAAATTTTAGTTACTAAATATGATTTTGATTTCTACCCAAAACACTCCTACAACAAAACAATTGTATTTTGGTATTGACTAAAAACATAATATCTAAAACACATCGCATGCCAAACGGATTTCAGATGAGATATAGACACGTTAATATGCCCCGATTAATGTTCCCTCAAACTTGTTCACTATATCCACGTCCCAATAACTTCACTCGAGCGGCCCAATCACATAATCCCAACAACTTCACTCGAGCGGCCAAATTACATATATCACAATCAAATATCTTGGGGGGTTCACGTGATAGGTCTGAGATCCATTTTTTAGCACCAACTAACTAAATTTTCATCAAAGTGTAGTTGGGATGATCTAATTTTGAGGCCATGAATCAACCATATTATCGGCTCATCAATGTCTCATTTTTCTTACAGTCAATTATTCTTTTTTACTGATCATGGAAGTGAAAGATCAATTAAATCAAATTTTTTTTTTTTTTAATTGGCCACTTATTTGAAAAAAATTATTTCCTTATTTCAAAGAGAGTTCATGATTAGAAACTGATATTAACACTCCACCTTTTAATTTTAATAATTGAAATGAAAAATTTACCCTTCATCTCTTAAATGAAGTTTAAAGGATTTATTTGAAAAGTTCTCTTACTTAACCAATGTTTTAAGAGATTTATTAAAAAACTCATTTGACATTTTACAAATCTCAATAAACTGTCTTAATTCGGTGGCCAAACAAGAATAACTCATACATCTTGTTATGAGAGCGCTCTCATGATAGTATTATTTTTATTTGAAAAGATACAGGAAAAAAGAAGAATGATAAAATAGTTATTTCAATTACTAAATTTAAAAGTTGTAGTTTTGAGAGTCAAATGTACTATCCCAATATCAACTCCATTATACTCTGTTATGAAATTTTTTTCTTCATAGCTTCCTATAAATCTTTTCATTAGGAAAGTCTTTTGTTTTGATCTAAATCACATAAAGTGAGAGCAGAAGCGGGAGCGAGAGCGACATAATTAAGTCAAAAATAGTAAAATTTTGAGCCAGAACGTGAGCGGAGCGCATGAACGAGAGCGTGTTCGAAATGTAAAAGCATCATCCGTTAAAAATGATTGTGTGACTTAGGTTTTGATTACCTAAAGAGGCATGTGTGAGTCCCAAGTCTCTCGTGAATTGGTATTATTAGCAACCTGGCACTACTGCATACCAATATTCAATGTACTATTTCAGAGGATTGTTGAAGCCAATAAATGTAGCCCCAGAGTCTCACGTGAATTGGTATTATTAGCAACCCGGCACTACTGCATACCAATATTCAATGTACTATTTCAGAGGATTGTTGAAGCCAATAAATGTAGCGAATGCTTTATGATGTTAGATGGGTTAAAGGGCTTTGAGGCCAATAAATGGAGCAACAAAAATTTGACCGTAAAAGTGACTCATATAATTGCAAGTTGGATAGCAAGTGATTTTTTTTTTTTTTTTTTTTTGTCTTCTTCAAGTGATTTGAATATACCAATATTTTCCATTTTATTGAAGGGACAGGATAGGATTAATGAGGGTGACCAATGAGAAATAATGAGAAAATGAAACCTGATATTTTCCATTTTATTGGAGAGAGAGGATTGGTGAAGGTGACCAGACCAGTAGGAAAAAGCAACCTGTTAATTAGTTGGGGGGTTAGGGATATGCGCATTCATGAGGCAGTATGTATGTATGTGTGTATACATATACACCACACACACAAAATAATCTGTTGTTCATCATCGGTGACAAATAATTCATTCACACCATATATGTATATGATCGTCGAATATAATTACTATATATAAACATATCGACATTTATGACAAAAGTTACAAACAGTGGATCACTGAGTCCTAAAACAGATATTCGGTTGGCTGGTAAATGCCCACTTAGTCAATTTGTTCCACCTACTTATGGGAAGAGTATTTTAGGCAACTCCAATAAATAAAAATGTTTTTATCAGTGATTAATACATCCGTCCGTATAAAAATTGATTGATACTTCTATCTTTTCTTTACTAAAAAAAATGCACTCATTGTATGGTGTACTTCACCTATAGGCACACCAATAACGTGATATTCCTGATTATCGACATTTTAGTCCTGATCAGTTAGATGGTTGGATAGATTTTGAGGCCATCATCCTAATTTGATGACAAGAAAAGTGTGAAGCCAGTGGACTAGGTGAAAATGTTCTTTTCATAAACTTTCTCAATATACAAACTAATTACGTAAATATATCATATTAAAGAGAGTATCTGAAAATCTGATTTTGAAATCCTAACTTAACTTATTTAAGGAAATAAAAAAATTGATGGTGTCTCACATAAAGGTGGGGCACACCACATGCTCTTGTGACACTGACCACCTTTTTGTGAGACACCCAACTAGTGCAGTCAAGTGTTATTAAGTGTATCAGTGCTCATTATTTAATTAAAGTACTTCTATCCAGTCTTAATTTGTTATGGCTGTCATCACTATCATCCTTCCCTTATTCACATGTTAATTTGATGGATAACACGAATTCTCTTTTTTCATTCTTTTATTCTTTATCATTTCATCTAATATGTTTAGCTTTCTAAAGCCGTTTCTAATAATTTCATTTATTTTGGTCGCCCTCTCTACCTAAATAAATCCTTATTCTTCCTGGAGTATTTATCGAACTTTTTTTTATGTGTCCAAACTATTTAAATCTACTCGATCCTTTTTATTTTCTTGTTGATAGATGTCACACTTAATTTCAAGTCTGAATTTCCAAAATTTGAAAATTACCCATTTGGCAAGTTTTTGCTTAATGACATGTGACAATCATTGTCAAGAAGATGGATCTCGCAATGACTTGCCCTTAACAAAATGATTATAACAACATACCAAGTAATGAAACATGTCTTGGAAGTCATCAGAACAAAGTTAACTAATTAACCTAGCATATATATATAGTTGAAGAGTTTTTTTTTTTTTTTTTTTTTTTTTTTTGAAAAGTGAAGTAAAGATTATAAATAGAGAAATGGATTACAAACAGGGCCAAAAAGCACAGTTAGCCGAGGCTAACTTCAGGAATAAGGCCCAAAGCCCAACCCAACAATTACATTTTCCTTGCCTTCATCGAACAAAAGCACAAAATTCCCAAAATGGAAAGCAGTTCTGAAATGGCCGATGATAGCCAACAATCCGGTAATCATGGCTTTGAGCCCCAGCCTCATCTCCTTGAGGTTTGCCTAGATTGATCCGGTAATCATGGCTTTTTGCTAGTGTACTGTATCGAAATAAAAGCATGAAGCATGTTTGTTAATATTTGTTGTGCTTTTGAATAGTATAGAAGCGCTTTTAAAATTAAGGCCAAAATCAAAACCATCAAAATGATGCTTTTATTTGCTTCCGCATTGTAGCAAAACACTGTTCAAAATTTTATTTTATTTATTTAAATTTTTTTTTCTAAAATAACATTTTTAACTAACCATTCAAATTTTCAAACTTGCAACACTTTTTACCAAACATACTTCATGTTTTTGTTTCTAAAAATCTTGTAACAAATTTACATTACCAAACATGCTTTTAAATAGTGTTGAACACACTCTAAAAGTAGAAACATTGCTTCTGCTTCGAATCAAAGCAAAAGCACAAAAGAACTGTGTTTGCCAAACGGGTTAGTTAGCTTAACAAAAAAAAAACATCCCAAGTCATCATATCTTTAAGAGTTTGATTGGTTAATGTTCAATTCTACACTATTATTATATAGTCTTTAGTTGATAAAATTTAATAGTTTTGCATATATGTATTAGCATTAATAATTCCTTCACTAATTCAAAACTTGAATATATTTATATAGAGAAATAATAATAATAATAATAATAATAATAATAATAATAATATTTAAGCTAGCTTGACATACAGAAAGCATGTCCCCGCGGGCGGGCGGGCAGTATTGAAACTCTCTATATATTGCACTTCAAATATGCATTGTTTATCAGCAAAGAGTATGGCTTCCAAACCAGGACTCCTCACGGACTGGCCATGGAAACACCTTGGGAGCTTCAAGGTACTCTCTCTCTCTCTCTCTCTCTCTCCACATGTATCCTTCTGTCTACCTATATATATATATATATATATATATATATATTTTTTTTTTTTATGTTTACAAGTTAACATACATATATATACACCACCAAGGGTGTAACTCTAGTGGTGGTCGGTATCTGCAACTTCTCTCACATGGGAGGTTGAAGTTCCAATCATGCACATTCTTAAAGTAGTAAGCAGTACCAAATTATGTTTTAAGGTTGTAATTTTTTTTTTACTTCACACACTCTCATGCATCTTCTGAGCTTTTGTGCATTCTTAGAGCATTGGCTGTTGACTATAGTACTATTGATTAATAATTAAATGGTAGAGCACCAACTAAAAAAAAGTACCAAAATTTTATTTTTCATATGTACATTAATTGATCCCAGTCTAGCTCTCATATAGTATATTTGTTTTCAGTTTAATTTACCATATATAGTTAAATAACTTTTGATACATACATATTTTCTTTTCCTTTGTTTCATTAATTTGGATGAAGTACAATGTGGTTTTAGCCCTCTCAGCAGTTCAGAGCATATACTGATACACAGTATTGGCTATAGACTCCAGTGATGAAATAATTTGGCAAAATACATACATATATATATATATATATATATATATATATATGTATGTATGTATGTATTGTAATCACAATCTACCTAGCTCTGATACACATTTTTTAATATATATACAAGTGTGCATAGTTTTCCATTGTGACCTAGAGGTCATGGTTTTAAAACCGAAAACACCCTCCTCATCAAAGCTGTGCGGTTCTGGAACGGAGATTCTTTAAATCTAATGACGACTGTAACGGATGGTCAACACAATCCGAAGAAAATTATGCAGAAGCTTTACAGAATTATTATGAAGCTATGCGACTAAAAATTGATTCCTATGATGGAAGTTATATACTCCATAACATAGGCCTTAACCACACAAGTAATGGAGGACATATATGTGAACTTCTCTCGATCCCACAATGGCGCGAGTCTGTTTACTCAACTAGCTCCTTATTATTATTATTATTATTATCATTTTGAAAGGTTATAGTTTAATAACTTGTGATACTTGCATATTCTTATTTTCTTTGTTTGATTTGGATGAAGTATGTGGTTTTAGCCCCTTGGGTGGTTCATAGCATATACTCATACATAGTGAAGGATGAAAATGAGAGGGACCTTTCCAACTTACTCATATTCCCATTGCTGCTGTGGAGGATGCTTCATAACCAAATATGGATTACTCTCTCTCGCTACCGAACCGCCAAAGGCAATAGTAGGATTGTTGACAAGAGCATTGAATTCGAGCAAGTGGACAGAGAAAGGAACTGGTATATATATCTCTATAGATACATATAAATATCTATATATTTGAAGTTTTCAACTCACACATATACATACAATTAAACATGCACATCATAATGAAGAATGGAGGTCCAAGAAAAACTTTGCCAAGTTTAGTAGGTTTGATGTAGTCATAAGATGTCTAAAAAGGTTGGCCTGAGAAAAAAATTACTGTTTCAGTAACTATTTGCACTCACACACACATATACATATACTTTTTTTTTCACGTGCCAATGCCTTTAAAAACATTTTTTCTTTTTCTACTTTTTGTTTTTTTTTTTTTATTTTTAGAAAAAAAAAACGATATTTTCACACTATTTTTTTTCCAAATAAATTACACATCGACTTTGTTCTTAAGAGGAGTCGAACTCTCAATCTTTCACTAGGATGGGAGAAATCAATGGACTAACCTTCGGTGGTTAGGTGTAATGGGTGTGTGCTTATTCGCTGGTTTAAAAACTTAAATTATTGGATAGTGTTGCATACATACTCATTTAAACTCATAACACCTCTAACATTCTCCCCCACCTGAACTCATCATAACGCCCTCGTTGCGGTTAGACCACCCGGCTTATTCTGAGTGACAACCAGGACGCTTCCGGGCCAAACGCTTGGCTTGACACCGAATCAAAAACTGGATCTAATGTAATAGGTGGATGCTTATCCGCTGACCCAAAAAATTAAGTTATTAGATAGTGCTGTATACTCGATCGTCCATTTATACCTAGGACACCTCTAACATTAGGCCACCACTTTTTTTCTTTTATACTCCTTTTTTTTTATTATTATTATTTTTAGGTCGTCCTTACTAACTGCCGAAGTTCAAAATGATATAATTTCTTTCTGGACAATACTTACCTATTCATCAATGAGTAGATACTGTCTATTCACCTCAAATATTATACTAGTAGCCTTTAATCTTACCAAATTTATATGGAAACGTAGATAAATATTGTTCTATTTTTACTTGCATTTAATCCCATATCCCCAACATATATATATATATATATATATATATATATATATATATATATATATATATATGTTTGATTTGGGTCTGAAATATATATTTGGTCGTTGGATATGACAGGGATGATCAAATCATATTTAATGGAATACTATACTATTTGGGTAATATGGCACTAAAAGGAGGCTCTCACCTACCAATTTGGAGAACAGAGGGTGTGATCATCATTATTTTGCTTCATATTGGACCTGTGGAATTCCTCTACTATTGGTTACACAGAGCACTGCATCATCACTATCTCTACTCTCGTTACCATTCTCATCATCATTCCTCCGTTGTCACTGAGCCCATTACATGTAAGATCCCGTCACATTAATTTTGTTTACATATATCTATATCTCTATATATAATTGTTATGAAATGTCTTTATTACTTAGATTTCTTTGAATTTCTTTTTAGATTCGTAGATTTTGGTATCTATTTCAATCAATTGTTAATAAGGAGTACTCCTAACTTCATTAACATGTAACGATGTAGTGTCAATATTGGCTGGATTGTTGACAATATTTATGAGTGTCAATTTTCGTCTTTTTAGATGTTGTGGTTCGTCACGGGATCCACATATTAATGCAACTATTAGGAACCACATATCGGTTGAGACTTGAACCCTCATTTTGAATACTTCAAATCAAAATTTCATTAACACCAACAATGTAGTATAGTCTTACCAATTAATTTTAAGTGTCGGGGACAATTATGAGTGTCAACTCTCACATTTTAGACAAGATAGGTACATAGTATCCACATAATAATGCAATTGTTGAGGATCACATATACGTGTCGGGACCTATACAAGCCAACTTAAACCCTCATTTTTTAAATTCACACGCACTCATTTTGCCTCAACCATCATGGTTTACATAAAAATAATAAAAAAAAAATGAAAAATTACATATAGAAATTCTCCTAAAAAGTTTGGCTTGTGATCATTTTCCCATTAATAATTTTGATATACATAGAGTCGTTAACATTGTATTACTAATTACTATTAGATATATAGATATATATACATATATATATATATATATATATATATATATATATTGATACATATAATAATGTGGGTGGTGTTGTTGCAGCTGTGATTCATCCATTTGCTGAACACATAGCATATTTCATACTCTTTGCAATACCAATGTTGACAGTGGCGAACACAGGAACAGGTTCTGTGGCTTCATTTGCTGGTTATATAACCTACATTGATTTCATGAACAACATGGGACACTGCAACTTTGAGCTCATCCCCAAGAGACTTTTCTCCATTTTCCCCCCACTCAAATACCTTATGTATACACCCACGTAAGTCTTTCAACCCATTCTTGTTTAATCATCCCAATATAAACACTTCTGTAATTATGTGTTTATATATATATATATATACATGTATGCCTCTGTATATATACACATACATATACATATATTGAAACAATGTATATACATTGAAATGGTTGCTGGAATGATATTTATTTGGTATAATATAAGTGAGGGTATTTTAGTACTTTCACAATGGCATCAATTTAGCTACTCTGACAAAAATGGTTGGGACAACAGTCATTGAAGACTATAAAGTTAGAAAGTTAGACAACAATCTTTTGTTCTACACAAATGTGTGTGGACATGTTATCACCCACATAATTTTCTAGCAACTTCATGGGAGCTCACCGACTCCTAATTGAGAAGTGAATCCAACAACCAAAGGTAATCTTTTCAAGGTGAAAAAAACCTTATACCCATGAAGTACCAATTAATATCATACTCAAATGGCTAAAAAGACCAAGTCCAGTGCCCAAAACTTAACCCTAGATAATTTTCGATTTCGAAGACGTAACTTTCAAGTCTAGCAACCTACCGATTAATAATGATATGGGTAAATTGCATTGATAATTTCTAAAGTTTTGGTCAATGTCATTCAAATATGGATCAACGACTTTTTTTAGAATGACACTCCATGTAGTTTTAAATGTCATATTTACCCCTGATTGATGATTTAATTCATTTAATTAACAAAATATCAATCATTTTAATTGGCAAAACTTCCCTCGTCATTAAGCCTCTTTTTTTACCCTAATCTTTAACCATTTTTTTTTAGTTCATTTTAGTACCTAGTTTCCGAAACTCCTCTTTCTTCCCAATCTCGGACATGGCTGTATTTTTTTTATTTATTTTTTATTTTTTTGTGGTGGGTCTGAATTGACTATGGGTATCTTTAATTTTTTTTCTACTTTGGTGGTAGTTGTTGTGTTGTGATTTAGGTGTGGCGGTATAAGTATTATTATATATAAAACTGTATAGAAGAGATAAAGATGTTAGTTTGGTCCATTAAATTTAGTTAGGAGATTAAATTTATAATTCTATAATTTAAATAAGGTTGTTGATAAGTCAAAAGATTAAAAAATAAAATTTATATAATTTTAGAGCTTTGGAAGGGTGGCAATGCAAATTTTTAAAATTTCAGCAGATGTGAATGTGAAAAAAAATATATTATCCATTCGCTGAGTAAAACCTCCAGTGCTATCACTGCAATTTACACTAACGACAAAAAGATGAAATAAAGCGATAGTTATCAATCAATATCTTTAAATTGTATTATCTAATCATACATAAATCCAAATTTGTCAAATGGCTCACATGAATGCAGTTGCTTTCAAATTTATTATTGTAGACAAGGTGGCTTTTCACTTTCTACGTGTTTCTTATTGGACCTCCCAATATTCAAATGCACTGTCACATGGAACATAATACAGTACACTACATTGATTACCAGGGACACATCATGTGTCATCCCAATATTAATTGCCCGAAAAGAACTTCTGTGACGTGTATTTAGATCGTATGTGTAATACATGCTTTTGTATGCGTATTATCTGAGTGATAATAAATAGTTAGATATACCATGCATGATTGCAGTGTTTCTTTCTCTTGCATGCCATCTAATCAAATTCAATTTGATTGATATATATGCAACATTGAGAAAATCAAATTCATTTTGTATTTATAATAGAATAGTATTGTAATGTTGTTACAACTTGATATAATATGTTGTATAAATATTGCATTTTGAAAATAAATATATTATACAAATATTGCATTGTTATTATTTTTTTTTTCGTAAGGTATAATATAGTGAATCTTATTACATCTAGTGCACTATAGAGGATCTGAGTACGACTAATATGGTGGACTAATATGGTGCATGCCTCATGATATTCCATGATGTGTGCTCACGTTAGAGGTTTTCATTAATTATTAATTATGCAATTTTAAGTTATTATTAGGTAGGGTCATTGATTATTATTAATTTTAACTTGTTTGAGTCAGATATGAATGTACTTTGTCTTTCAATTTGACCCTCTACCAAACAACTTCAGGCTGAATTTATTTTTCTTGGGTTGTTGAATTTGACTTGGTATGATGATCTGATTTATCCAATTAAATTTGGATTGGTGAAATTATATTCGTATTTTTAAATACAAATATGTTCGTGCTAAATTTCAATTACTAATATTTTAACAATAATACTATCACGTTTGTAAGCTCATTTTTTTTAAACTAAAATAAAAAAATAAAAAAAATTATTTATTGTCAACACATATGCACACACATTTGTTATCTGGAGCAGCTTGAGCTAGATATTGAACTTTTAAGTGTTTGATACCACAGGTTTATTTTTATTTTTCTTCAGTTGTTGGATTTGATTTGGTCCGGATCTGATTGATCCAATTAAATTTGGATTGGTGAAATTATATTCGTATTTTAAATACGATTTATGGTCGTGCTAATTTTCAATTACTAATATTTTAATAATAATACTATCAAGTTTGTAAGCTCATTTTTTAAAAAATTAAAAAATATATATATATAAAAAATAAAAATAAAAATCTTTATTGTCAACACGTACACATGCACACACATTTGTTATATGGAGCAGCTTGAGCTAGATATTGAAGTTTTAAGTGTTTGATACCACAGGTTTCATTCTCTACATCACACTCAATTTCGAACCAACTACTCTCTCTTCGTGCCATTCTATGACTACATTTATGGTACCACCGACAAGTCAACAGATGCATTATATGAAACTTCACTCCATAGACCAGAGGAGTCACCTGATGTGGTGCACCTGACCCATCTAACCACGCCCGAGTCCATCTATCATATGCGCCTTGGGTTCGCCTCTTTGGCCTCTAAGCCTCTCACATCCAAATGGTACTTGTGGCTCATGTGGCCTCTCACACTTTGGTCCATGATGCTCACTTGGATTTATGGTAAAACATTTGTTGTTGAGAGAAATATTTTCAATAATCTCAAATTGCAGACTTGGGCCATACCAAAGTACAATGTACAAGTAAGTATTGTTTAATCCATTTCTTTTAGACTCTATATATGTATTGGCATGTGCAAATTTTTATTCTTTATTATTATAATATGATACTGTAACAGTAGGGACGGCTAGATTATTTACATGTGTAAATGATCCTGATCATTCACTGCAATTAACGACCATGCATTACATATGTTGCACTAATTAATTTTCATATTGCAGTACTTTATCAATTGGCAAAGAGAGTCTATAAATAGCTTGATTGAGGAGGCTATATTAGAAGCTGAAGAAAGAGGCACTGATGTGTTGAGCTTAGGTCTTCTTAACCAGGCAAGTTGTTGCTCTTTCTCCTTTTTATCCCCTTCTATATATTACATGCAAGTGAAATCTATAAGCATATTTGGTTCAATGTTCTAAAACAATTTTTAATAACTTAAAAAACATAAAATAGTTTTCTAAGTTAGAAAATTATGGAGAGGATACCTTTATTTATTTATTTGTTATTATTATTATTTTTGAAAATCAAGCAATTGTATAAAAAAAAGAAAATATAAAATTGGTCCACATCAGCAGTGAGAATACATCCTCACTAGTGAGGACTTAAGAAAATGCAGCAAGTTTAATCTCTTTCCCTCTTGTGTGTGTGTGTGTGTGTGTGTAGGGGGAGGAGCTTAATGGAAATGGTGAGCTGTACATCCGGAGGCACCCACAGCTTAAAGTGAAGGTGGTGGATGGGAGTAGCTTAGCAGTGGCTGTTGTGCTAAACAGCATACCTGAAGGAACAACCAAACTACTCCTTAATGCCAAATTATCCAAAGTTGCTTATTCAATAGCTTTTGCATTATGCCAAAGGGGAATACAGGTATATATATATACTGCAAAAATGTTAAGTTGCAGTAATTAATCTATGTAATGTAAGACAAAAAATTCAATCTCCATTATCACCTCTAACACAAAGTTGTATTTGTAATAGGTAGCCACATTACACATGGATGAGTATAACAAACTTAAAGCAAATCTTGGAACTGAGGCTGCAAATAATTTGGTCCTATCAAAAATTTGTACTCAAAAGGTAAATTATATATATCTTCTATATACCTACTTTTTTCCTTTGATGTCCAAAAATCTGTTCTTTTTATTCATTATATATAGTGTGTGTGTATATATAAACACATAGTTTTGAAACATTACAAGATGTGACCAATTTGTACAGATATGGTTGGTGGGAGAGGGATTGACTGAAGAAGAACAATGGGAGGCACCAAAAGGGACATTGTTCATTCCAATCTCGCCATTTCCTCCAATGAAACTGCGAAAAGACTGCTTCTACTACCACACACCAGCGATGCTGACTCCCAACTATCTCGAGAATGTGGACTCGTGTGAGGTTAGATATGTAATTTTCTTTCTAAATTTGATTAATCTTTTATTTTGGCTTCTTTTGATTACGTACATGGATATATATGTATATATATCTATATATATATATATATATATGAATGTGAATGTGTTGGATCATAGAATTGGCTGCCAAGAAGGGTGATGAGTGCATGGCGAATAGCTGGGATAGTGCATGGTTTAGAAGGATGGAATGTGAATGAGTGCGGTAACTCCATCTTCAACGTTGACCAAGTTTGGAAAGCCAGTCTTCGACATGGGTTTCTTCCTTTGAAGATGTCCATGGACTCCAAGCCTTTTTAATTAGACTATATATATATATATTTATATATATGCGTCAGCTCTTGTTGTGTTCTGCAAATGATGGATGTGATTTGGTATCTATGACTAGTATTAAGCCCCTTTGGATCTATCTCTCAATAAAACTAATAGACTCTAGAGTTTTTTTATTTTTTATTTTTTATTTTGAAAGATGAAGGTAATTTTATAGATAGAACATGAAATGTACATTGCAAGTTAGCCCAAGCTAACCAAATGAGAACCAGCCCAAAGAGTTTCAGGCCCAAAGCCGAAGACAGCCTAAAGAGTAAACAAAGGAGACCGTTGCAGGTCACAGCACTCTGCAGTGATCATGGAGATGATGTCCACTCCACGCATCAATTCCAGTCAGGAGGTTTGGCCCGAGGACGGATGACTGAAGATGGAAGGTCCCATTCTTCGATAATACGTACGCCTGGCATTTGACGATTCCATGATCGTTGTAGACATGAGCTTCAGTCTAATCGTGTCCAGTGTTTGATGAAGCTGTGAATTTTTGGAGAGAGACTTCCTCTTGAAGATCCTTCTGTTGCGCTCCATCCATATACTATAAACAAGTGCAGACAGAGCTAGTTTTGCAATTGAGTTGTTGTAGAACCCTAAGTTGCATCGCCAGTGTTGAGATGCCCAATTGATAAGGTTTGGCCATGAGGATGGTTGTATGTGGAACCCACATCTTGCTTGAAGAAATGTCCACAAGGGTTTTGTGTAATCACATTTAAAGAACAGGTGGTTGTGAGTCTCTAACTGGGAGTTACAAAGGGTGCATAGGGTGGCATTGACATGAGCAGTGCACCTTCTATTTAGGGTTGGGAGTTTCTGCTATATAGCAACCCACAGAGTGAATGAATGCTTGGGTATTGAGTTTTGGACCAGACTAAATGAGTCCATGGTAGGCTAGGCAGATAGTGGTTGATGTGTTTCAGTGTCTTTGCAATTGAGAATGCTCCAGTGGGGGATGGTAACCATATGACTCTGTCTTGCTTCTGTGGGCATGGCAATGGAACATAATTGGCCTGCTGCAATTGGGGAATTAAATATATTGGTAATGGCAGGTGGGAATTGCCATGTAGGGTTGGATATGAAGGAGCACAGTTTTGTTTTGGTATCAATAGAGGTGTTTCTTAGCTGCTGTGGAGAAAGGAGGAGGTGAAGTGGCCCTAGGTTGCACCAGTTGTCAAAGCAGAAATTGGCATTTCTTCCATTGCCAATCTCAAGCTTGACAATGGTTCCAATTCCAAGACCACTGGCCAGGGATCTTGACTTAGAAACTTAAGAGTACCTCTTAATAATACCTCATAATCCAACGTCGGACAGCTTTAATGCATCACTTCTAGAGAAAGGGACATGGTTTGGTGAGATGGTCTTTTGTTTCTTAACTCCAAGCAGATGTGGCGACCGTTTAATGTACAAGATTGGAATTAAAAATGGTGTAGTCTCAAGTAAAGAAGTTCACAAACTCAAAATATGACTCGTGAAAATTGTAAGAAGGTGAATATATCAAACTAAATGCGGAAAAAATTCGAAGCACAATTGGTGTAACTCTAGCATAATTGGTTAACCAATTTGATCAAATATCAAATTCTTTAAGGTTAAAGAGGTTTTTGACAAAATTAAAAGATATTTAAGTTATTTTACATACACACTTGATATAATTCTAGCACAATTGATTAACAAAATTGATCAAATATCTAATTCTTTAATTTTTAAGAGGTTAAAGTCAAACTGAGGGGTACAGTAGTACTTCACAGTGAAGAAAGAAAATAGCATTTATGTAGAATAAATATGGGGTGGTTGAAAATTATCGACAACTAAAAAACATGGTTGTAAAAACCAGATGGATCTTACAATTAAATTTGTGGGACCTCAACAAAATCTAGTGCGTAGTAAAAAGAAAAAGAAAAAAATAAAAAATATAACAGCTGACCCTATCAACCGAATAACATGTTAATTAATCAATATATTCATTTGATTTTTCTATGACACTGTATTAATGCGGGATATATTGTGAAATTAAAGATACAAGTATACCCAAAGGAAAATAATAATAATAATAAATAAAAATAAATAAATAAATAAATATATAGGGGCTAAAAAAAATGGTTGGGACAAAAACATTCATCTTGTTCGTAATTTAGTTACATGTGTAATTATTGAACACTAAAGTTAGAATGTTAGGCAAAATCTTTTGTTATTAGCCCAAATTTACATTCATATATAGAGTGTGGTACCAAAATACATGTGTATTGACACCAAGACATGTATCACCTCCATTAATTTCTAACAAGTTCGTTCAACTCTTAATTGAGAAGTGAATCCTACCAAACTAATTAATGTGATGCAAATTGATCAATGTTTATTAAAAATATAAAGACTCCAAATGAAAATACAAATTAATTATTTTTAAATCGTTTACGATCCTTGTCAATCACAACCTGTAATTTAAATAATTCAATTAACTTTATTTTTCTTGCGTGACAGTTACAGTTGGTCAGATCATGTAATACCGACAATGTAATAATTTTTTTTCCTTTTCAGCTACTAATTAAAGAGCCCAATAGAATTTGGCTAGCTTCCAACAAAATTTGATTCCTTCTTGTTTCAAATAGAGTAGTCAAATGTCAGAACTGGAATTGTCTCTTATATACTTGAATTGTCTAGTCTAAGTGTACGATAAAAAAATAGACATGAATGAGGATGGAATGAGATGCAACATAGGTGTCGTCATTTCAAACATAGTAGTTAAATATTGAACTCGAATCTTGGCCTAAATACTGAAGGAGTTGTGGTTGAACAGTCTAGTCATGTTGTGTGTTGTTCCATCTTCAAATACAATGACACATCATATAACCTTTCAAAAAAAAAAAAAAAAATGACAAATTATTTGTCACCTCCACACTTTGTTATCCATGCATGCATGCATGAAGCATCGTTTCTTTCTTCTACATGCCATCAGTCCAATCTAATTGTGATAAACATGCAACACGAGGATCCAATATCATTGATTTAAAAATATAATAATGATAAAAACATATTACATTTTTATTTTAATGATATAGTATATTATTGTAATTTAATATAATATGTGTTATATAAATACAAGATTATTTCATGCACTTGAGTCGCATTGATTCATTGATTCATGTTTACGTAACAAGTGGGCGTTTGTCTATTTGTTCAAAAGTTTAAGGTATTGAATAGTGGAACAAAATCTTCTTTTGCACTACAAGAGAGCCGGTTCCATCAAGTGAGGAACATGTATTCCTCCTTGCGCCACGTCACTGGGAACAAAAAAGACAAATCTTTAATAACAAAATTTTACCGAGCATGACAAAACCTTTTACACACACACACACATATATGTACACATAAACACGTATTGATATATATATATATTTCAGTTTGTACCAATATTCACTATTCATTTCTTTCTCTTGTTTGAGATACATGTTAGGAAAAAGTTAGGATGTCGGCTTTGCATCCCAACATTTTCTTAACGTACGTGTATCCCAATATTTTCCTAACATACATCCCAACATTTTCTTAACGTACATCCAAAGTATCTCACGGGCTGGAATACAGTCCACTATTCATCTCTTTATCTTGTTTGGGATACATATTAGGAAAATATTGGGACGTTAGCCTTACATCACAATATTTTTCGAATGTATATCCCAATTTTCTCCCCATCAGCATCCCAACATTTTCCTAACCTGTATTCCAACATTTTCCTAACGTACATCCCAAAATATCCTCACCGATTGGAACAGATCTACTATCCCAACATTTTCTTAACATATATCCTAACATTTTCCTATCCTACATCTCAAAGTATCTCAAATTTATTCACGTCATAAGTTGCATCTTTCTTTACTATCAATAAACTTGTGTTGTGTATGTCATGAAGCTTGGAAGAGCTCTGGTTTTACTTTAGATTGATAAGTATACTCTATAATCACTTTTCTTTAAACTTTGTGTAAAGAGAGATTGTAGAGAGAGAAAAAGAGAGTTAGAATTAAGTAGGTTTGGTTTTGATTTGGTCCGTATGTATGTGTGTGTCAGTGTATGTATATACAAAAATCTTGTTTTTTTAATTTTTAACCTTTACCATTTTAACTCACTAGATGGGATCGGCTCTCCTGTAGCATATGAGGAGATTTTGTTCCTTGAGTAGTATTGCATAGCCATCCATTTATACCCATTTCACTTCTCATCTAGATTTGAATAGCCTTGTCTCCGACATTGAATCTGCATATGCCAATCTAGCCTAATATCTTTAGTACCTAGTTTGCCCCCCAACTAATCCTCTTTTCTTGTTAAAAGAGGTCCAGTAGCCCATTTCTTCCTTTCTGTGTGGTGCCCTAATTAATCTGGCCCACTTTTATATCATTCATCCAGCAACATCAAAGTCCACCCCAAATGTTAACAAATAAGTTGCCCCAAGTGTTTGGAATAAAATTAATTTAAATTAATGTCCACGTTTCACTTTATTATTGGTTCATACTTCGGTTGAGTTGTCCTACTCTCCATATGTCCATTCGGTTGAGTTGTCCTACTCTTCAAATGTCCTTGTAGACCTTAAGATGACTATTACTTGAGTGTCATTCTAGGTGTCAACACAACACAACTTGACCGTTCACAAACTCAAACTATGATTGCTGAAAATTCACAGGAAAAGTGGTTAATATATCAAACAAATATGTGAAAATTCGAAGTGCGTCTTCTAACACATGCACTTTACAATATTGGTGTTAAAGATCTCATGGGTAGATATGCTTTTTATTATGTTTCCATTCCGGTATGATCTTGCATCAGTTTATTTTTAACTAAAACTCATGAAAAAATTGAACTAACAGTGGTATATCTTGCAATTTAAATATGGTGCAAATTGGACCTACATTTGGTACTTTTAAGAGGCCCTAGGCGCTTTCAAATACGAGCCCTTTAATACATAAGGTTTCACACGTGCACAAAAATATTATAAGAGTGCATAATTTTAATTAAAATAAAACAATAAACACATAAAATATATTATTGTTGAAAATACACAAAACAAAATCCGATCTTAGTGCTTTATAAAGAGTACGATCATAATTGTGAGTCACAGTTTACGAAGTGAACAACTCTATTGGAACATAGGAGTACTAGACTCGTACGTTTATTTATTTAATTTATCAATGAAGGTGTAGGGCTTTTAAAACATCCCTATAATCTAGTGATGGAAGGAGCTAGGATCCCTAGTCATTATGAGGGAGGGAGTTAGGACATTTATAGGTGAGATGTTAAGTCTTTTGTTTCTGCACCTTCAAAGTAAATGCGTATGAATTAAAAATGGTGTAAGCTTAAGTTAATAGAAAGTGAAAATATATATCAGAACACAGTAGTAGTACAATTGGTGTAATCTTCCAACCCATGCTTACTGGTACTAAAAATCTCTATTTTGTTAACAATCATTCCTCATTTCATTATGATCTTGATTCATTTTTTTTTTTTTTTTTTTTTTTGGAATGTTAAGCAAACACACACACACACACCCATATCTTCATGAAGGCTCGGACACCCGATCAACATCCCTTTTGGGGAGGAGTGTATGTACCAACTAGCTTATTATTCATTTGGAATCTTGCAGACTTGCACCAATGTTGGTCAAACTAAAACACGTGACTTGAGGTCACAATAAAATTAATTTTCCATTGTGCCCAGGCTTGACAT